GTCACTGCTGGACTCTGACGAGGATGGGCTCACTGGCTCATCATTCTCACACAGCACATCTGCCCCTGTCAGGGAAGGGTGGACTGAGCCCCCAAAAGGGAGAGTCGGGCCAGCGGTCTGCACTGTGCCTGGATACCTCTCAGTGCAGGCAGGGAGGGGAAGGGAGAGGAGGGAAGCCAGCACCTTACCAGCTTTGAGGAGCAGTTTGGTGAGGGTGGGTGAGCCCAGGCCAGCAGCCAGGTGCAGGGGAGTGTTCCCAGCAAAAGTCCGGCTGTTGATATCTGCTCCCAGCTATGGAGAAAGGGACAATGCCATAAGGATGGGCTGCCTGCGTGCTGCCTCCCCCATTCCCTGTCAGCCCAAGCCCACAGGGGACACCTTGCTTTTGCCAGGGCCCCATTACAGCCACCAAGCCACCAGTCTCTCCATACCTTCTTCACTAGGTGGGTGGCCATGTTCAGGTTCTCCATCTCCACGGCCAGGTGCAGTGGGGTCCTCCCACCCTGCCTCTCCACTGCGTTCACATCCGCTCCCTTCCTGACCAGCAGGTCCAGGCAGGCCAAACTCTTTGCCTTCACGGCCAAGTGCACAGGCAGGAGGCCTGCAACAGGGGGAGAGGCTCACCAGCCCTCTGGCTGAGCCCACGATGGCACCGCCAGGTTCCTGCCCATCATCTCCCAGACTCACTCACCATGGAAATTGGGCAGGCGGAGCAGGTAAGGGGCAGCTGAGCCCAAGTGGGCCAGCAGCGTCCTCAGCATCTCTTCATCACCAGCCTGGAGTGCCAAGTGCAGCGGGGAATTGCCGTAGCGGTCCAGCAAGGTGGGGTCAGCGCGGGCTTGCAGCAGGAGCTGGACCACTTGGGGCTGCTTGGTGACGACTGCCAGATGCAGTGGCGTCTGCGGGACAGCAGCACCCCCTCAGCAGCGCTCACGAGTGGAGCCAAGTCCTGCACCACTGTCCTTGCCAGTGTGGCTGCACCATGCTCAGCTCTGCAGCCTCCCCTTGCAGGAGCAACAACAGGACCCCCAGGGTGGAGAAACGGGAGTGAGCCCCAGGTAGAGGAGAACCAGCTACTCTGGGAAATACATACCTGCTGCAGGTTGTTGGAGATGTTGATGATCTGCTGGCTGGGGATGCTAACAATGACCTCAATCAGCTGCTTGATCACAGCTGTCTGCTCATGGATAATAGCGAGGTGCAAAGGCCTGCAAAGAGAGCAGGATGGCCTCTGGCTCAGATTCACGCTTCTCCAGGTCCTCCCTGCCACCTCCCACCTCCCAGAGCCCCCATAATGGCTCTG